GTGATTACTTGGACACCCCATGAGGGGCCTCATTTGAGAGCCACGTTTCAGTACCAAAAAGAGTCAATGATGAGTTCTACTTCAGGCTTTTTGTTCTTTATCGACTGAAAATGTATTGTAAGCACTCTTAGTGGTTCTGAGTTGTTTGCTGTGGTCGCTGAAATCTGTGAGGCATTTTAACCGTAAATGAAATTCATTCAACATCATGACTAAATGAACAATGGAAGTAATTTTAGATAAACAGATTAGTTGACAATAATAAAAACTTGGAGATATGACAAGTCGACAGGTTGCCGGGCAGTATAGTGTCTCATAAGTTTGTTTTTTTTTTATGATGTTGTTTTGTAATTTTTATTATAGATCAATATGTGACTCTTAAATAAACTATAAAATTATCTTTATCTTATCTTGATATACTGACAAATATCAAACAAGTTTCGGACAGTTTAAAAAATTTAATTTTCAAATGACTCACTATATGGTTGTGTGACATGTTGACAGTTGAAGTAATCAAATAATATTATTGACATTTCGACAAACTGATAAAACATTATGGGCCATGCACAGTGTACTTGTGTTAATTCGGGGTTTGTTTTTTTTTTGTCATGGGGTTCTCTTTCTTCATTTTTATTAACTTGAGACTTTTTTTATTGGTTCTTCGAAAACTAAGTCTTTTTAAATATTATGGTGAAAACAAATTATGATATAAATAAATAAAAAGCTGCGCCGTGAGCGCACGATACGCCCGTCTTTATGCTTTAAATGAATTTTTATGATCAACCTGCCTGAAATACTGTGAACACTGCTCAAATAGACCCCCTAAAAAATCATACACACACACACACACACACAGTGGTACCCATTGACACAAAACATGAATAATTTGGCACCATTAAGGTTACCTCGAGTATAACTAAGCTTGTGGCCTCGATTTTTGAACGAATAAAATTCTATAACCGTCCAAAGAGTGAAAAATGGACAGTTTTCGACGATTTTTCAACGAATATACTTCCATAACTACGCAATGTCATATCATAAATTTATAAAAAGAAAACAAAAGGAAGCTTATTTCAATAGATATAAACAAGCCATCAAAATTTCATAAAGACTGCTCAAAGCGTTTTTGAGTTATTGTCCGAAAACTGGAAAATCACCCATTTTATGAACAAAGTACCATAACTCGGATACAAAAAATCTCCAAAACCTAAAATCAGAAAGTTTAAAATTCGAAAGAGAACGTATGTCAATATATATAAACAATTCACCAAAGTTTCATGAAAACTGTTCAAAGCATTTTTGAGTTATGGTCAGAAAACTGGAAAAGTCGTCCATTTTTTATGAATAAAATCCCATAACTCGGAAACAAAAAATCTGAAATTCATTGATATCGAAAGGGAGCATACGTCAATAGATATAAACAATTCACCAAAGTTTCATGAAAATTAGTGAAAGCGTTTTTGAGTTATTGTCCAAAGTCTTGACGACGGACGACGGACAACGGTATACCATAATACGTCCCGTAAACAGGCGTATACGTTTTTGTATACCTAAAGACCTGTCCAACTTTGAAGGTATACTTTTTTTTAAATTGTCAACCCTTCGGGAAAATCAGATTTGTGTTTAGTGTCAACTTATCGACCTCTTAACATTTAAAGATAAACACTGTTTGTAAGTGTCAACTTGTCGACCTGAGTCAACCTTTAGAGGTAAACATTTTTGTGAATGTCAACTTGTCGACCTGAATTAACCTTTAGAAGAAGTCAAATTTAGTTAGTTAACTTGTCAACCGGCCAACCTTTAAAGGCAGACACTTTTCTTTTGGTTCATATGATTTGAACCAAATCATTCATGTACTTAAACAAGTAAATCCGAAAGGAACTATGTATCCGTTACTCAAGTTTTTTTTCTCACTCTAACACAACGAAATTCAGTTACCTACTATAGCATAACGGACCAGTAATAGCATTCTCCTATAGATCCGATTATAGATCATTATACGACAAGCTATTCTTTGCGAATGAATTATTTTATTTCTCATTAACTACAAATTACATTTTATAGAGAATATATATATATAAACAATTACATTCAATTTTAAAGCACATGCGAACAATACAGGCATATACATTGTATTACAAGCTAACCAGGAGGAGTGACCCTCACATTTATAATTTTTATAAACCTATATAGTTTTTCAAGAACAATATAGTTACTAGTGCTCATTAATTGTTGAAATTTATATATATTTGGACAAAAAGTACAATAATGTGGTAACAACCTCTTTCTTTCTTGATTTAGAGCATTGCATGACATAACATAATGATATTCATCGCCGATGTCTCTTGATTCGCAAAGATGGCACAACCTTTCATTTTTGGATTATGTTATTCCACCTTCCCGTCTCAATAGGTAATCGGTGACTTCCACATCTAAATTTTGACTCCGAATTCTATAATTTTTCGACAAGTTACTTTTTCTGTGGTAAGACATCCTGGTACTCGGTCAAGTAAGAGCAACTAAAATAAGTAAAATCAAACATATAATCGGTGTAATTTGAGGGGAAAGTTAACTGTTTTCCGATTATTTTGTTAGGTAAAGAAAATGTTTAGCAGCTAATTTCCCCCAAAAATTATACCGATTAAAAGCTTTATTTTACTTCTTTACCTTGCTCTTACTTGACTTGGTACCATGATGTCCTACCATAGAAAAGGTAACCTGTCGAAAAATTGTATGATCCGGAGTCAAAAGTCGGTAATATGAAAAGAGTCTATTCTGCATAAACAATACAGCTAGCTAGGTGTACTCTGTTTTAAGTGTAGAACAAGCTTACAAAATTTTAAAAGAATACGTTCTATCGTATCAAAATTATCAAATCCTCAAATTTCCGAACCATACAGAAGAATAAGTTCTTTTTTTTATTTCATTTTTAAATCCAACCGATATATATATATATATATAGTAATCATGATGTACCTACTGTAATTCTTAAAAGTCTAACTTCTGGGTCCAATTATTTCAAAGGGCTTTACGACAGCGCTGATAAATTCGAATTAAAAGTTATCAAATTAAATTAATTGGACTATTGTGCTTCTCGACAAAAAAAGATATTAATGTGTTGTTCGAAATATTTACAACAGATTTTTTAAAACTATATAAATACTGTATTCCTACTAAACAGCTAAACTAGTAACTGCTATACACAAAGACAGACACGGGTTCAATAACGATATAAGAGGCCCCTCGTGGGGGTGTCCAAGTAATCACATAGGTAATCACAAATTTTTTGCCAATATAATCACATAATCATTAATTATTTTTTTAAACAAGATAATCAAATAATAAAAAATACAGTCCTAGATTATTAAATAATCATGAAATATTTGGTCTGGTAATCAAATAATCACTATAAAAACGGCCAAGTAATCACATAATCAAAAACCCCTTAAGACGAGAAATTCAAATTGGAGATCGACTGGAAAATTAGACAATCAAATCTAAAGGAAAAAGGATAATAATAACAAAACAGAAATAAAGTAAATAATTTGAAAATATATCCGATGGAATATTTGAAACAAATTTCTGACATCGGACTCGGACTTCTCTTAAACTGAGTTTTACTGTGCGTACTGTTGTACGTTTGTTTTTTCTACATTGGCTAGAGGTATAGGTGGAGGGTTGAGATCTCAAAAAACATGTTTAACCCCGCCGCATTTTTGCGCCTGTCCCAAGTCAGGGGCCTCTGGCCTTTGTTAGTCTTGTATCATTTTTAATTTTAGTTTCTTGTGTATAATTTGGAGTTTAGTATGACGTCCATTATCACTGAATTAGTATACATATTTGTTTAGGGGCCAGCTGAAGGACGCCTCCAGGTGCGGGAGTTTCTCGCTGCATTGAAGACCCATTGGTGGCCTTCGGCTGTTGTCTGCTCTATGGTCGGGTTGTTGTCTCTTTGACACATTCCCCATTTCCATTCTCAATTTTATTTGACATAATTTAAAATCAGAAAAAAACCTTGTACTACTGAAAAAACGGATTGAAAGTTAATAAAAATGTTGATTAAATCCAACGACGGTTAGGAAAACTTGCCTAACGAACTAAATAATAAGATTGCATGTGATGATTAGGAGAAATGTAGTCTGCTTATAACAAATATTTCAATAAGATTTCCCAAATTTAATTTGAAGCAAAAACTGAGTGAGTGAGAGTTCAGGAATTGAAAAAAATACAAAAGAGAAAATAAATATTATTAAAATATCAGATCCTAACAAAGCATCTGGTCCAGATGTAATCAGCCATAGAATGCTAAAAATGTGTCCGAAAAAGGTAGCAGTTCCAATGAAGATTGGTTATAACAAGTATAATAGCTTTTTCAAAAAGCTTGCCGGTTTTTAGCTTATTATGTTGAAAATTGTTTTTTTTCTTTGTATTTTCATCCATTCAGAATATTGCTCTGCATATAAATTGTAATGGGGTGAAAAAAAGTGGAATACAGGAAAGGTCATTAATATAGTATTGTAAGGGTTACAATTTTAATTTTGTTTTGTCATCTTTAACTCCTGAAAAGGGCGTAATTTCTAAATCACTTGCGTTTTTGCCTGTACTCATTTCAATAAACTTTTTTATAAATCAATTTTTTCAGCAGACATGTCATTATTTACTCTCTGTTTTTAGAAAAGCGTGATCAAGATCTTTCATGTGTGACTCTCTGATCGTTACTTTCTGTCTTTCTTCTTCCCGGTTACGAGTCGGACTCTACAATTGAGTGTAATTGACTCGGGCGCATCTCAAACAGACAGGGGGCTACTCCTTTGGCCAAAAGTAAAAGTCCAGGAAAACTGGATGGTATTTACATTGAAGTCAGTAGGTGCATATTTACAAATATGTACACTGGGAAACCTGTTGTCTAGTTGAGATGTGGCAGAGTCCAGGAGATGGTGTTCACTCTGATACGCATGGTTGATAACTAATACACCTCAACAAGGTAATTATGAATACGAAAGTTAAAATAATATTTATATCTGATGCAAACACAATTGAATAATAAAGACAGTACAAAACTCAATTAATTTGAATCACTTTTGCGTTTGACCTTGTGGCGTATATTAATTTTTACATATAAACAAAGTATGAAATTCATCTCCAATACCATTTCTACACAAGTTGCATGTTCTATCCTCCCTTGGCATATTGTACCAACGGCCAGTTTTAAAACCTAAAACAAAAAACACAACATACATAACATAAGTAATACTATAGTAAAGCACAGCAAGTCTGGTGTGTGTCAATCCTGGGAATAACATACTAATATATTAAATAAATAATGTTATTAACTAATCACAGTACCTGTATTAGGGGAGAATACAGTTTAATTATGACTACAAGACAAAACATACAATACTAAACAGGATTTCAATGATTACTTTGATTAAAACATTGAACATATATACATTTATTGAAGAAAAGAACTGCATAAAATATATATACTGGTGAATAATAACCAGCAATATGGATCCCCCTTGGAACACAGAAATTTCATACAATAATAAAAATAATAATAAAGGGGGACAGCTCCGTTAAGTCAATGATTCATTAGTGCATCTCTTTCTTTAGACAGTTGTTCTAAAAGTTTATGAATTATAAAAATGATTTCTGTGTCCTCATTGCTTTTAAAAAGCCAAGTTAATTTGTTTTCATCAGAAATTTTATTAAAATTATTATTATTATTATTATTATTATCTAATTGATCAAATTATGGTTCGCATACTGTTGTAAAGCGTGGGCATTGAACAGAATTTATACATAAATTACATTTTTTTTTCACTAATATCCAAGTTACAATATCTTCCCTTCTCAATGTTGAGGTTATGTGAGCTTATTCTAAATTTAGTTTACAGTTTTCTTTCATTATCATTACCACAACTTAAATATTTTTCTAAATTGAAAATGTTTTTAAATTAACGATATGTTCTTAACTTGTTTCCAACTTTGGAATGTTTTGTATTATCATTAAAAAGCCCTTTTAACCAAATTTGGTTAAAAATAGATTTTAGAGAACTCTTTACTTTTGTTATAATATAATTAGATGAACTAGGCATATGGGATAAATAATGAAGTTTCAGATTAGACAAAAATGTTCTTATATTACTAATCCAGGATTTTTTATTTTCTGAATCCATTATCATACTCTTGAAAAGCTTGAATGATATAATATACTATCATAGTTTAATTTGAAATATTTTTTTTATATTACACCAATATTTAACCTTCTTCTTCTTCTCTGGATCTTTACACCCTTTATAGTAACCATACTTTCATATGTCGAACAGTTCCACCACCAAAAATAAAAAAACATAATGAAAATTAAAAATCAAAACTGACTAAAGACGAAATAACCACGTTATACTAATATATTATGTCCGAGGTCAATCTTTAGCAAACAAAAACAAAAAACTAAAATATTTATGTGATTTTCAACATAACTTCACGTTTAATTTTTAAATCGAACATCCTGGGACATATTAAATATATTGACTATTTTCTTTAAAATTCTAGCGAGGTTACTCGAATGTTCGGGTTTGCCACCTGTCTTCTAGGTACTTCGTCATTGACCGCCATTTTCAAGCATATATAATTCAACTTCCGGTTAAGCTGCATCCCAAGAAAACAAAAATCCCTCATACTTGTCCAAATTAATAAACTTGCCATTGTTGCCAACCCATAAACAAACAAAATACAACATGAGTCTAGAAGATGAAGTGTTAAAAATAGGGAAGAAGCTCGAGAAAATGATTACGAGCGAAACGGTGGTAAGTGTCGATTACTCCGTTACACTTTCGCTTCGCGTTTTTTTCTTTCTTTTGGGCGTCCTCGTGTAATCAATGTCATGTCCGTATCTTGTAGTAAAGTTTCAAAGAATAAAATAATAAACAAATTTGTTTGTAAAGAAAAAGAATATATTATAATTAAGGGCTTGGGCCGAAGGGCATAAACATTTGACATCACACACAAAAAATAATCGAGATTAAAACAAATACAATGTAACTCTCAATTTGAACTAAAATGAGTCATAAAGAGCTTTCTTAAGTTAATATTTTAGTAGCTCAAGCTTTTCAAATGCACAAAATGAAATTAACAGTGGAGAAAAATGAGTCATAAGGTTCATTGTTACTATGTGACAAAATCTGAAAATACACCTACCTAGAGTTGTTTTTTTTATGAATGAGTTACACTGGTTGACCCAGGGTCAATCGGTGTAAACAATGTCTCAAACAATGGGTTTTCACTGTGACGTAATAACATAAGCATTGTGACATAGCAATTTTACGGGAAGACTGTTTACAAAAAAGACAAATCGGACCGTCAATAAGTCAACTCGGACCGTGTATAAAGTTAACTCTGACTGTCTATAACTAGGACCATCTATAATGCCAACTCAGACAAAGTATAAAAGGAGAGATTTTACTATATAAATGATTTAATGAGCGTCTTTGACAAAAAAAGTGTTTTTGAAGAGTAATTATGCCGTCTATAATGCACTGAATAAAGGGAAAGTTTTAACGTCCGTCGACTATAAATGAAGAAAAAGACAAATCTGACCGTCTGAAAAGATGTCCATATAGATAATTCAAGACCACAACTTTTAGACTAGGGACAATTTATTTTATGTGAAAAATAACATTATTTCATATAAATAGCCCAAACTCTATGTTAATACTTTGTTGGCATTATAGATGGTCCGGGTTGACTTATTGACAGACTTTAGGTTAAAAAAGATATGAATTAAAACAAATTCAACAAATAGATAAAACATATTCAACCTAGACTTGTTTTGCTTAAAAGTTTTATAATAAATTGATAGAAATAAGTAGAAATTTGAATTCACATTAAACAATTTATTTTGATTATGTTTTGCAAATTCAGCAACATGTAAATGATACTGTTGCGTGAAATATAACATTCAATCATTTATAATCATTTTAATCGTTCAAATTCCTTTTAATACTTTGTTTTAGTAGTCATTATAAACGGTCAGAGTTGACTTTATAGACGGTCCAATATTGATTTGATAGATGGTCCAAGTTGACTCATTAGTCGGTCCGAGATGTCTCCGGGCTGAGTTGTCTTGCATTCCCTGGCAGCACATAGTTATAGTAAAAGTTACATCATACAAGTGAGAGGTTTAGCTAGCTATAAAACCAGGTTTAATCCACCATTTTCTACATAAAGAAATGCCTGTACCAAGTCAGGAATATGACAGTTGTTTTCCATTCGTTTGATATGTGAGCTTGAGGTTCAAACTCATCATAAAACAATATCAGAGTTAAAGAAATTTACTTGAGTTAAACTGACAAATTTGTTTAATCCGTTGGCAAGCAAATTAAGTAACTATTTTAAACAGATGATCTAGTGCATTAGTCTTCCCGGTCTCCTTAGAGCTCAGCAGATAATCATGAAGCCTGTTGGTGACCTCATATTTGGTCAGCAGCTTGACAATGATGAGTTGTAAGGTGTGAGTGCTTTTTGGATCTGTGTGACACCTACTTCTTATTTGCAAATACTATGAATTTTTCAACATGTTAAACATGTTAAATGAAAACGAATATTTTCTGCACACTTGACAGTGATGAGTTTTAAAGTGTGAGCACTTTCAGGTCTGCTAGACATCTACTTCCTGTTTATATAACTTTATATTGGCATTTTGGATAATAACGAATCATGGCAAAATTGCAGGTGGTCATCATATAATCATAGCACCCAACAAAGTAAACATTATGGTGTTACACAACTGTATTTATTTTTGTTGGGTGGGGGTGCCATATGAAAATCTTGCCAGAAATTGAACAAAACTAAAATGCTATTACCCAATTTTTGAATGGAGGAAAACCTAAACACGCATTTTTATACGACCGCAAAATATTTTTGCGGTCGTATATTGGTATCACTGCGTCAGCGTCGTCTGAAGACAGTTGGTTTCTGGACAATAACTTTAGTATAATTAAATAGAAATCTATGAAATTTAAACACAGGTTTATCACCACAAAAAAAAAGGTTGGGATTGATTTTGGGGGTTATGGTCCTAACAGTTTAGGAATTAGGGACCAAAAAGGGGCCCAAATAAGCATTTTTCTAGTTTCCAGACCTTAACTTGTGGAACGGTGTATGGATCTCTCTGAAATTATACCACAAGTTTCCATATCACAAAGGGATGGTTAGGATTCGCTTTGGGGGGTTATGGCTCAAACCGTTTAGGAATTAGGGGCAAAAAAGGGTGAAAACAAGGGTTTCCTGGTTAATGGACAATTACCTTAAGACAATTTAAAAGCAGTGTAAGGGAGGTAATCCAAACACAATGTTTTGATTAACTCCCTTACACTGCTTTTAAATTACGTATAAAGAAATGTTGTATTGTCTTGAGATGATTAGCTGTCAATTTATTTTTAGAAGTTACTATTAAGGAATATTAATTTTAGCCATGATTATGTATGTCATTTTCTATTTTAAGACTTTTATGATGTATTTAAATGGGTAATTATGGTTGCAAACTCCATTGGAAATTTGAATTGAGATTATGACCATATCTTGAGGGAAAGAATTTTTTGGGGGGGAAAAAGGGGGGGGAGGTAAACAGAAAAAAAGTTTTTGGGGGGGAGGTAAACAAAAAATTTGGGGGGGGGGGGGGGGGTAAACAATTTTTTTTTCTCATTTCAGATTTCAGAAATTTTTATTTGCAAAATAAAAGGGGGGTGGGGTCAATACGCAACAGCATAGTGTATTGCACAAAAGCAAAAAAGGGGGGTAAATTTTTTTTTTTTTTGTGGGGGAGGGGGGGGGTCAATTTGCAACAGCAAAGTGTATTGCACAAAAGCAAAAAATTGAATATAATTTCAAATCATATAACCAATTCTAAGTTCTTTGACTACAGTTATTCTGTGTCAGAAACCTATTATGTGTCAAATATTTATTTACAATCCAAATTCAGACCTGTATCAAGCGCGAATATTGTGTCCATTTTTGCCCTTACTGTTCAGGATTGGACCTCTGCGGCCATATCCAGCTGCGCTGGGCGAAGCAATTTATTTTGTTTGGCCTGAGTCTATGATTTGAAAAATACTTTGTTTTCAAATGGAAGGTCGTGGGTTTACCATTTTAAAGGGATTTGTTTTTGTCTTTTTCAGGATCACTCCAGTTCTCTAGACTTACTGAAATCATTACAGGAAAAGAAACTGAATTTAAATGTGTTACAGGTTTGTTTCTTAAGACATACTTTTACAAATTTTTATAAATTGACCTACTCAAAACTAATCTTGATTTTGATTATTTCCTACTCAAGTATAATTTCATGACTGTCATTTCAGGACGGGTGTCATGGAATTGAAGTTCCTTTATAATATTAGTTCCAGATGGAAGAAATATTCTGGTATATTATTTCCACTGGAAGAAATATTACAATATTTGTTCCTGACAGAATAAAGAGTATAGAATATATGTTCCAACAGGAACAGATATAATAGCATTGTGTATAACAAAGTTTCAAGAGGAACTTTGGTTAGGAGGAACAAATATACATTCACAGGGAAACACAATCCTTTTGATCACCTTGTGATTTCATTAGCTAACAATAGTCGCCAATTAATGACTGTAGAAAATGTTTGGCATGAAATTTTGCACATCATTGTGTTTGGGGTAAAGATTCCATTAAATTCAATCAAAACCATATTGTCACTGGCTTGATGGCTATATCCTCCAGGCCTCTGACATCTGTACCTTTTAGAGTTTAAACATCATAGTGCGATGAGGTAAACATTCTGTAGATCCTTGCCCATGTCAAGCAATTAATTAATACATGTAATATATACTCAGATATTCAAGTTACAAGATGATATGTAGGTGTACTGGTATAACTGTACTTGTCAACTAAAATATTCTGTTAAAAATTACATAAGTTGTGCATGGTGTATGAATCTATTTGTTCTAAAAATAGTATAACTACAATAATAAACAAAGGAAAATAACTCCAAATCAAAATATTGCCTAAGTGGGTTCCATTGCTTTATACAATTCAATATTTTATTGTAAGTTCACATTGTAAAATGAAACCAATCTTTGCCCTTCAATGCTCACAAGCACTTTGATTGTGTATTTGTACAATTGTTACTTCTACTTTGGTCTTCATTAAATTTTGCCTGTACCACACACTATGCCAGTTAATTCGTAATACATGTAAATTGAATTGAATATTTTTGAAAATAAAATTTCAAAGTATATAGCATATCAATTATATGTAATAAAACATATCAATATAAGATATTTTATTTGATGACTTTTTTTTTTAGAAAACCAGAATTGGGATGACAGTAAATAATTTCAGAAAAGGATCAAGAAATGATGAAGTTATTTCCCTAGCTAAAAGTCTGATTAAGAGTTGGAAAAAACTCTTGCCAGCAGGTATGGAAATAAACACCAGTACAATGTTTTCTTTAAAATCATGGAAGGTTGATCGCTCACAAACATGTTTAACCCCGCCACAATTATTATGTGCCTGTCCCAAGTCATGAACCTGTAGTTGTTGCTTTGGGCCAGGTGAATTAAAACATTGTTCAAGAACAATAATTAAGAATTGAAGTAAGTTCACTTCTGTTAAAGACAGAAATGGTTACAAACATGCCCCTAACCTGAAAGGCTGTTTTATTTTATTTTTTTGTGACACCTTCCTACGACAAAATAACGCCATAGCCATTTTTATGCCCCTGCCCTAAAGGAGGGGGCATTAAGTTTTACCCTTGTCCATCGGTACGTCCCGAAATTGGTTTCTGTCCTCGAACTTTAGTTTGGCTCAACCAAATGTTATGAAACTTATACACAATTCTTATTACCACAAAACACAGATCAAATTCGAATTTGGGTGGCGTCTCTTTTACCTTTCTAGAGTTATGCCCCATTACAAGTGGAAAATTACTGAATTTTTCGTTTCCGTTCTCTTACTTAAGTTTGCCTCAACCAAATGTTATGAATCTTATACGTCACTTTTATCGTTCTTGAGTTATGTCCCTTTATAGCTTTATTTGCAAGCGGGGGCATCATCTGTGTTCCATGGACACATTCCCCATTTATTTCAGTTGGACTTTAAGAGCAAATTTTCCTCATAACTTTGACTCAATTTTGTCATGAAATCTTTACTGACGGCTAGAAATGTATACATATATACAAATTCTTACCTGTTGTGTGCATGTTGGTGCAAAGTATTCCCAGAAATATCCAAAAGTAGTGATTAAATAAGTTACAATTCCAGGCGAATTGACGATGATCTACTTCTTTATTCATATTTTCCAAGATCTTTCACTTTCAGAGAGTATAAAATAAAAATAAATCTACAAACAGAAATCCATAAAATTGTCAGACCCAAATTTCTGGAACATTCAATTTATATTATCTGGAAATTCTTGTCCCTCAAATTTAAAAAAAATTTAAGTTTTAAAAAATATACCTTTGAAAATTCATTGTGACAGATTGTAAAAGATGAATTGATTAGTTAGCCTTAGGGAGTGATTATTTATAAGATTGTAGCTGCCTATACATGAAAATTATGGTACATAAGTTAAGTAAAAGTTATTTGTGTCCATCTGTTTGTGCAATGGTGAGAAATATTACTTTGATTTTTTTCATAATTGAAATTGTTGATAGTTTTTCATATGTTTGAATAATACCATTTTCTAATTTTTATTTAAGAAAATACACAGTCAAATAATAAAAATGGGGAAACCAAAAAATCAACATCAAATTCTCCTGAAAATTCACAAGATTCAGAAATGATAGAATCACAGGAATCTGTTGATAATTCAGAAGAAAAGTCTGAGGAAAAGCAGGAAACAAAAGAACCAACAACGCCTGTAGATATCACAGCACCCTCTACAAGTGATCCTGTACGAATAAAATGTAGAGAATTATTAGCTAATGCATTAAAAATAGAATGTAAGTAACTATGTATATATGTATCTTCTGTAAATGCTTTTGTATGGTGCAAAATACCAAAGCACTACTGTAAATTCAGAAATTATTGCGATGTTTTTATTATTGCGAAAAATGCGACAGGGTTAAATCACAATAACTTAAACTCGCATTTTGAAATATTTTATATGAATTAAACAGGATTGTTCTCAATATCGCAAAAATTAGAGTCGCATTTTAGTCTAAAAGGACAAAATCGCAATAATAAATGCACGCAATAATTTCTGAATTTACAGTATTTGAATTACATTGTATTTATTAAAGATCTTCAGTTCTGCAGATGTATGTTTATTGGGAAACCACAGACTGTTTTGGGTTCACTGTGGGTTGCACATCAAGTTAGCTATTTATATAAGCACAACCTAGTAAAAATAATAAAAAATAAACACTTGTTCCAAAAGGTGAAGAAAAGTTTTAGTTAGCTATTCGCATCTTGAGAAGCACTCAGAATGATCTTATTTGCGAATGTCTTTACTGAAACTATTTGATCACAAACAAAGCAAGCCATATTTTAAAGCTTTTCTATGATAGATTGTTTTACTGGTAAAGGTTTTTTATGTTATAGGATATACTGAAGTAATGTAAATAATGGAACAAATATATTACGGTGTTATCAGATTAGAAGTTAGACTTATAAACCAGATATGAATTCACAAGCAATACATTTATTAGTGTAAATACACAGACTGATAAGCAGAGTCAAAAATCAAAACCACTTTCAATCATATAGATTAAACACAGTTAATAAGTCAAAGATTTATTATAATATGTAGAAAGTCTTATAACAACAACACTTTAGGGACTGCTGCAGAAAATTTATTGATTTAATTGATCTACATTTCATTGATATCTTTGGAACAACCATATTTTATTTTTATTGTAGGTAATGTTGTTTCTTCATCAAGTCCTGATGATCTTGCAGCCCATGTTGAGGAATGTATCCATTTAATAAGTCAAATGATATATATGTACAGGCTTTAAAGTATATCATGAATGCTTAATATTAGTGCTTTTACTGCTAACAAATGTCTGGTACAAGTATTCATGTTGATTTCTATTCTAAGAATAAGTTCATGGACAACCTTTACACTACCAGTTTCATGGATTTTTCTAGCATTCCACAGGGTCCGGTATTTGGACCCATTCCCAATGTCAAAACCCCTACATTTTTCCCAATTTCAGGAGGAAAAATTCTCAAACGAGATTTTTAGGGACATCTACCTGCTGGATTGAAAATTGTCCAAATTACGTTTTCACCCATATTATTCATGACAGCGATGTTCTTTTTGTTCAACATACGAAAATCACAAACCAGTAATGTGTAAAACTGAGTAAAAACATATCCGATTGACAAAATACAATTTCGACAAATGGCCGCTATAAACTGGAAAGGTAGACAAATGCAATACTGGATCAGATTCCGGAAGCGGATAAGGCTAAATTCTGGGTTTGCCGATCAAATACATAAAATAAATTTTTAAAAATTCGCCACAGGTGACAAAATATAACTATTAAATATAAACTCTTGAATTGAAAACCAAAAGATATATAAAAAAGAAAGAAGAAAAGGGTAATATTTTTTACAGAAACTCGGACTTCAGACATTTTTAGTCCACAAAATGTGCATGTCAAAATCCAATAAAATGTTACATTCACTTTTCTTTATCACTAAAAAAAATTGTGACATTGGATATTTTTATAATATAAACACATTACTACAGATCTAGGAGGTAATTTTTTCTCAATTTTGAAGGGACAGTAAAAATCTGGAAGGGCAAGTGAATTTAGAAAGGTGTTGGTCTGCTTGGCCAGTTAAAAAAAAATCTTATTAAGGCTATCCCTGAATTTATTTATTTGAAACTGTTACCGTCTTTGAAGTTAAAAAAGGGGGTTAATTCTTATCACATGTGCGCTGTAAGAAGTACAGTATTTTGATACTAAAATAGATTTGATTGCCTTGTTGTCAAGTTTAAAAACAAAAAGGACAGGAGAATAAAATTATAATTGGCAATCATGTAGTTTCTAACTTTATTTTCACAAAAGAGATAATTTCTAATGAACTATACAGATCAAAACTCACATCTGGTATATTTGTTGGGTTTTCCCAATTTCATTGAAAATCGCATAAAAAATTCCCAAAACTGCCCAGGGTCCTTTTTTCCAAAATACCTAGAAAAACCCTTGAGCTTACTTTCTCCTACTGAATTGGAGCAATAACTGGCTCCAACAGCTGAGAAACAGAACATGTGCAACATATAAAGTAATAGTATTGAATATATCTACTTTATAAGGGTCCCTTAGGTTTCATAATGTTCAGTTGTAACATTTTACTAAATACTGATCTATCACAATACATATGAATGAAGGAAAAGGAAGACAGGGGCATATTTCAATGAGACAGTAACCTCAAATCATAACAAAACCAAAAAATGGCACGCAGATTAAGTATTATGGAAAAGACTTTTTTCCTTAACTGTATTTAGATATTTATCAAGAATTCAACAATACAGATAGCAAATATAAGGCACGGGTTAGAAGTAGAATAGCTAACTTGAAAGATGTTAGAAATCCCAAACTGAGAGAAAATGTGCTGTGTGGTTTAGTTTCTACTGAAAGAATAGCCAGCATGCCAACAGAGGTAAGCTAAATTGAAAGACTAAATTCTAAGTACTTCTTTTGCGCAGTCAGTTAGAGCGCTGCCTTGCAACACAGAGATCCTGGGTTTGAGTCTTGGTGGAGACAATGTGATTTTCTAATAAGAATCATGCTCTCAGGGTTACATTTATAATTCCCATGACTGAAAGGGAAATGTCTTACTTTTATAATTTCCATGATTAAAGGGGACATTTCTTACTTTATGATTACCATGACTAAAGGGAACGTCTCTTGCTTAAAAATTCCCATGACTGAAAGGAATATTTCTTACTTTAATAATTCCCAAGACTACTTTAATGTTGTTTGAAGTTAAAGCTGATTGATATAATTATCATAAAAGAATGTGGACATTCAGAAAATAAACCAATGAGAACTCAGTTGATAGATGCCTTTAAGATAAGCACAATGAGTAAAGTATGCATAATAATAGGGAAATCATTACAAGAGTATAGGCAGTAAATAAGTTTTGTTTGCAGACAGATAGTCCTTGTTTTTTTCTCTGCAGGATATGGCCAATGATAAAATGAAGGAGTTGCGAGCTAAATACACAAAAGAATCTATAGATGACCATCAGATGGCAAAAACAGAAGGGACAACTACAGATTTGTTTAAATGTGGAAAATGTGGAAAAAATAAGTGTACATATAGTCAGGTATGGTGTTAAACCTAGGGATATTTAAAAGAAATAAAGCATAGTTGTCATATAATATCTTTATTTTAAATTAAACTTACAGTGAGAAATGAAGGTTATACAAGTTTTGTGTGAAATGAGGTCATGATGTTGCTATGCAAACATTTTCTTGAAGAATCATAACTTATTTAACTACTGGCTCCTGATGATCTTAACACAGAGACAATATATTTATATAGGATGTTCCAGTCACATGGACTAGACTCGTATGCTCAAAACCTATGTAACAATTTATAAAAATTGTATCTTGCTATCAGGAACACTTCTGAAAACAGATGTAGAGAAAGAATTTATTTTTCTGTGTTATTTTGTTTACCGGTATATGCAAAAGATTAACATTTTTGAAAAATTAGAACAAGATTTTAATGATTTTGAGTCTTTGCTAAATAATACTTCAACGTTGCAGCATGAAGGATTTTTGTCAAGTCTGCGATATTTATGTCACTAAAGTGAGACATAGCGATCCTAGATGTCAGCAGCAGCGGCGCCAACATTTAGGTTCAGTCTCTAGTTGAAGTTTTTTTAGACATCAATAACTTTGTCAAACCTTCATGGAATTTTATGAAATTTGGACAGGAGCAAGTTTATGATCAAAAGACAGTATCCAGAGCAAAATTTTGAAAATATTTTTTTTTATTTTTCCGTATTTTACTGTAAAATGGATTTAATTTTTTTTTTACAGTTAACAAGTAGATACAGTTTAGTTTGTTACACATCAATTACTTTGTCAAAGCTTCATAGAATTTTATGAAACCTTGGCAGAAGCTTTTTATTGATTAAGAGATAATGTCTGAAGCAAACTTTTGAAAATATATTTTTTTTAAATTCTGTATTTTACTGATAAATGCAATCTCATTAAAATCCGATGTTCTGATATGCTACACTCCTCCTTAGGGGAGTGTAGCGTATCAGAACATCGTATTTTAATGAGATTGTGATAAATGGACTCACTTTTTAAGTCAACATTACATTTTTACACTCACAGCAGCAATCTCTGGCGAGACAGTGTTTCGTGGAATCTCTACTAATTTTTTTTTTATCAATTGAGCATTCCAGATCAGGGCTTCCAAAATTTCCTGACGACAGCCGGACATTTTTCAAAGAAATATTTTGACGGTCAATGATCAGCTGGATACTTAAATGTAACTGAGAGGATGCATAAATTGATATATGTGTCTAAATAATTAGTAGTGTTATATGCAATAAAATTATTTATAACTGTTTTGTTTTTCTTCATTCTAAAAATAAATAAAATATTATCCTCGGTATTGTGTCATTTTTCTGTGTATCGTAATACAGTAACCATCATTGCATCAATCAGCTTCAGTACCTGACTATTCTCATGTTTTTGTTTCTGTTTATATAATCTATCTTCTCTCTGTGAGTACTTAACACTTTGTAAATTAAGGGTATCTTATTTGAAACTGTTGATGTTGGCTTTAATTGCAGTACAACTTGATCATCAATACACGTGATACTTTTCTTTTTGTGTATTGATTACCTGACCACGTGACTTTTACAACTGATGCGGTATTTATAGATAACATTGAGGAGGCTCAATGAAGGATATTGTTTTAAACCGTGTAAAATCTACTGAACAGTAATAACATTTTTCTTTGTACAATTTCCCAACCTGATTTAGAAAATAAGAAGAATAAATAAAAACATACTCAGTTGATAAATAATTTAAACTAATTTTCAGTTCACCAGCTTTGAGGTTTGATAAGTACAAAATTAAATGTTTTTGCGTAGCCAGATCAGTTGACTTGTCGATCATAATTCCCACGGCGGGACTTAACTTTACGTCGGACATCACCTCTTTCTCTATAATATCGGAAATTGTCTGAATAAATTCGGAGCAGGCATTGTTCTCTTGATGTAATTTAGAAGTGATCACGGCACCATTTAACTTAGTTAAATCATTTATTGACTGAAATTTGTCCATTGGTAAGTTTTCTTTAGCAATAAAGATAGCATTACGGAACAAGGTGCACATTGCGTTGTCAGTCTTTTCATGAACTTTCTCAAATACTGATACAATTGGATTACTTTTGGAAGCTGTCTCTAATTTAAGAGCTTGAACGTGGTCATTGCTATTAGCATGCTCTACAACGGCTGACTTTGGAAAAGTTATTTTTAAGTTTATGTTTTTGACAAATGTCACAAAACATGGCATTTAGCATACTGTCAAATCTTAACCATAAAAACAGTTGTAACCATTTATGAATAAAGCTTCTTGCTTTTTTAGCAGATTTCGAATTTTGATCGGAATCGTCACGTTTACAATTGCCCATGATGGCAGATTTGTAAAGTTCAATTTGAGACAAAGTCTTTATAACAGTCGGAGATTGTCATGATTGGATATTCTTCTTTATGATTTCAATTATAAAAACAGTTTTTAATATGAAAACAAGAATAGAGAACGCCCCCCCCCTTATTTATTGGACAACTCAGCTATTCTCTGTGTTTTTTCTATATATTTCAATAAATTTTCCCCTTTAGAGTACCCCAGTATTTAACACGATGTACAGTGTTAAATAAAATAATATATCATACTTATTCATTTATAAATATCCTTATTTGAAGAATAACTTTTAAATATCAGGATACTTTTTTAAACTGAATGCTCATTTAAAATAATATCTATAAAGCGTAATTAAATAGGATGTTGTTCCATACACGCTTACATGTTTGACCTCGTTTACCTGATCACCTTTATGTACAGTGTTACGCATCATAAATTCTATTGATAAAGACAAGCTAAGGACACCTCATCAAAGGTTACAAACCTGTAATCAGTGAATGATTTATGGCTTCAATATAACTTATTGAAGAGATAATTGTTTGACAGCTTGTTGTTATTTAAATAAAAGAAAACGTGTTTTTTCTACTTTTTATTGATGTACACAAGCTAAAGACCAAGCGGTACATTTATGTACCCAGAGGATTAGACTAACTGAGACACTTCAAAGTATCTGAAATATGCTGCATCTGTTTTATTAAACCCAATTAAGACCGAAATATCTTTGTGAAATAGATTGCCACAATTATAAACTAAAATGCTCAAACGGACATGCCCAAAGCCCCAAACGGACATTTTTATCGATCGATAGTTGGTAAAAATTGAAATGACCGTTTTATGAAAATGCCTTGAATAACAAAAAGTGGCAAACCAATTCTATTTGACCGTTTGAGGCTGAGAGCAGCCGGACTTTTTATGAAAGTTTCGGTCAAGTCCGGAATATATGACCGTTTTGGAAGCCCTGTTCCAGATATATGCCACATGAACATAGAGATTTTTTATATTATTTAGTATGAACTTTGTTTACACAAATCCTCATACATGCTTCAAATATTCATGAAACTTTGCACATTGTAAGATCCTAAAATGGAGATCCACATACAAGTACATATATCACATTCTGTTTTCTTGAAAAATCCAAGACTTATGGCCATTTTCTCATAGGAACATTAATAATGAAAACATTAAAATTGAAATCTACATTAAACATGTCTAACATTATTTTAAAAATTAATAAGATAAAATAGATATTTGGGGCTAATGAAAAGTGGAAGTAGGTGGACTTTGTCCTGCTTTGCAGACAGTTCTTGTTCAAATTACAACTGTTTAATTGATAATTTTGTAAGAATACATATTAAAGTAGATTGAAAATAACTTTTAATCAGTGTTGTTACAAAAGCAAAGAAAATATTGACTGTATTTACCTGGATCAGAAGAAAAGTTACTTTTCTATTGTTATCCCAGTGTAAAACGTATACGTAATATTATAAGGATTTACCAGACTAATCATTTCAAATGTCATTTATGTTTTACAGGATCGGCCATACAAATCTTAATTAATAATATAATCAATGTCCTTCTGTAAATAACTTTCTGCAGATTTCCCATTACAGATTAATTCATGCATTCAACTGAAGATATGCTAACTTTTATTATGGTGGCTAATTCTATATCTATCGCCCTTAACTGTTGTGCCTTATAAAGTGAAAAAAACAATTTCTCAAAATTTAAATACCTCATTACAAAAGATATGATAATCTTAAATGAAACGGATACTGAAGAATCTTTTCATTTTAATTGTATATATTTTATTAGTCAGAGGATAGGATTATTTTGAAACATTTATTAGATGTAATTGTCATCTGTCTATTTGTTTCCTTTCAGATGCAGACAAGAAGTGCTGATGAACCTATGACAACATTTGTGTTCTGTATGGAATGTGGTAACAGATGGAAGGTAATGAATATAACACCAAATAATTTCATTATACCCCTGGTCCAATGGAGGGGAATACTGGTTTACCCCTCTCTGTCTGTGTGTCTGTTAACATTTGTGTTCTGTATGGAATGTGGTAACAGATGGAAGGTAATGAATATAACACCAAATAATTTCATTATACCCCTGGTCCAATGGAGGGGTATACTGGTTTACCCCTCTCTGTCTGTCTGTCTGTCTGTCTGTCTGTCTGTCTGTCTGTCTGTCTGTCAGTCCCATGCAAGATTTATTAAATTTTTCTTTGATCAGAGCTTCCATAAATTTGGTATCAAGCTTAGATTGAGCATCCTAATACTGTTAGATGTGTTTTCACATTCATTGCTCATCAACTTCCTGAAATTTAGTAGCAAGCTTCATATCAGCATGCCATACCATGTGATGCGTTTTCACATCTGTAGCTTATCAACTTTCTGTTTACCAAATACTTATAGTAGGGAATCATAATTGAGCAATAGATCACAGTTCAGCTTGTTTTTTTCCAGACATTAATTATACTTTCATTTAGCATTTCGATCAGAATGTTATTTTCTTTCTTATCACAAAAAATGTAAAGAATGCCACCAGAATACTATACATGTAGTTTAATTTTGAAAAGTTTAGGTTAAAATGAGCAAAATAGAAAAGTCAATAGTAAGAGTAAAGAAAAAATGTTGTGTATGTATATAAACACACTTGTCAAATAACTTACGTAATTTGTGTATGGTGCATGAATCTAGTATCTGTTATAAAAAATATCAAGAATGTCTTTGTTAAAATAAAATTGGATTTATCTTCCTTTGTTCGTTATTGTAGTTGAACCAGCTACAATTATGGATAAAGAAAGATATCTGCAATACATAGTAAAGCCTTCCAATGCTTAAAAGAATGCAGGGTTTTTAGCAAAAAATGAATGCAATTCAGTGCTCACAAGCACTTTGATTTTTGCATTTGCTGTTTAAAAATATTGAAAAAAACTAGGGTTTTCAGATGAAGAAAAAATGACTGAAAGTCTCAAACTTACATGTGCTTGTCAAAGTCTCAAACTTACATGTGCTTGTCAAATGTTATATCAGTTTAGGCTAACACTGTACAAGTTATCAATTTTTATACATTTAAGACTTTTTAAAAGAAATTATTCATAAATAAATTTTTAATAATATCATTCTGTTGAATTTTAGATTTTTTTCTGTATCCATAACTGTTTGGAAATCTGCACATAGGATCTTTTTACAGTGTCCTTTGTCAGTTTATAGAATGATCCTTGATGTAAATAGTTTCAGTTCACTTTTATCTTGAAATTATTCAAGTTCAAGGCTGGATGTTATTAGAAAGTAATGACCAGCCTCTAGAAGGAGAAAAATGTTAAGAATGACTGAATTAAGAAATTCATTTACAGAAACCTATTTTGAAACTTTCAAATCCTAACAGATGTTATCTCTACAAAATTTAGATATGGATTATTCTGAAATAGTGAGCAATACAAAAGGAAAGTTATTTAGTAGGGTGCCCAGTCAATGATTTGATCGATTTGGGATAACGGAATAACACACGGCTGTATTTTATATCATTGGAAAGAGGAGAACAAACCTCATTGAAATATTGATGTAGTGGTTGTCTACAGTGGTCACTATTTTCTTGAATTTAGGTCAAAGGTCAAAGTTGAAATTTCAAGGAAAAAGCAGAGTCACGTTTGGACAGCTGGCCGCCCCTACATATATGCGCTTATAGCTAAATAAATTTGAATAATTCAAAGTATTATAACTATAGTTTCTATATTTAGGACTTTTTTGATGTTTCCCTTGCCAAATATGGTTCGAAATTGACATTTGTACTTATAAGGTGCACATTTACAATTTTCATTCAACTGTTAAATAACAGTGACCTTGACCTATTAAAATTTCAAAATTCAGACTTTTTACACAAGATTCGATACAAGTGATCTCTAGAGATGTTTTTTAGATATTAACATTTATAAGTTGCCCTCCCAAAATGTTATTTTTCCTTCTTTTGATAAAAGGTGTTCGTAATGATTTTGTGGGTAAATATCCAATTTTCTTTTGGTGAGTGTGGTAGCACATCAAATTGTAATTAATTCCAAAACTGGTGTAATATTAACTCAGAATGGATTGAATTAGCATGTCTGAGTATATCTTTGCTTTATAGAAATAAGAAGAAAAAAAACTGCAAAAGGTGAAAAAGGGGGGTGGGTTTCTGTTAAAGATATGAAAACAAAAGGACAATTAGAAACAGGTTAATCACTCCATCTTACACACTTATATCAAGTGTACTGTATTTGACTTATTGATCATAAATTGTCCTTCAATTTACATGAAGTTAAAGATTATCTACAAAAACAGGGTTATGTACAGCATCAATGTATTTTACAAACAATGTCTCACTTCTCATGAGTTCTAAGATAACTATATTTGGTTTCTAATATATGGTATCCTTGCAAGGCTCATATGTCAGTCAGACATGGTTCACCTGACCTCGACCTCAATTTGTGGATCAGTGAACAAGGTTTAGTTTCAGTGGTCAAATCCGTATCTCAGATACTATAAGTAGTGGGTCAAATATAATTGGTGTATGGAATGGTAGCAAGGTGTACATCTCTTTGTGGCAGAGTTTATCTGTCCTTACCTCATTTATATGGAAGGTTAATATGTTAGTTTGATGTAAAACTCATTGTATAATATAAAAATAAGGGGATGTGGAAGTTAGCAAGTATAGGCAACCGTACGGCCTTCAACAATGAGAAAAACCCATACCGTGTGGTCGTCTATAAAAGGGCCTGATATGAAAATTTAAAACAATTCATTTGAGAAATCTAACGGCCTAATTTATAACAAAATAATTTAACAAAAATAAATATGACAGGCATGAACCAACGACAACCACTCAAATACCAGCTCGATCCTGAATTGGAACAGGCATATTAAGAATGTACAATCCTTTTCTCTAAGACTTTCGACATAATTCAGTCAGTTAGTAAAACATGCTGTACCAGTAGAATCCTAGTTTATAATCATACTTTTCTCAGACTATTGATGACGTCCTTTCATTAGCTTTTTGTAAGGGGACAACCATTTGATTTCGAAAGAGGGAGGGGAAGAGGATTTTGAAAATGAATAACTTGTCCTGGTATGAACTGAAAAATAAATTACTTTGCACAAAACAGGATGACAATGAATACTCTGCAGGATAGTTGAGGATCTAAATGTGTACAAAAGTGAAAATAATTTTTCGCGGAAAAAGATAAGCATGCGTAGCAACAGATGAAAAAAAAAGGTCAATCAGGGAAATATTTTCCTGCTGCCAACCCCAACCCCCCCCTCCCATTTTTCCCCGAATATAAAATGTCGAACCCTAACAGCGAGTAGATCGGTACTTCGTGTCTTTTGTCTCCATGTTAGTTGTTTTTGTGATTCATGCCGATTTGATGAGTCAAGCCATTACCAACTGTTTTTTTTTGCAAATTGTTTAAGATTATGTTATGTTGTATACCATTGTCCAGGTAAGTGGAGGTTCAAAGGATCACAAACATGTTTAACCCCACCAAATTCTGTATGTGTCTGTTCAAAATCAGGAGCCTGCAATTCAGTGGTTGTTGTTGGTCGCTTTCTGATTTTTTTATGTTGTTGTCATAAATGAAACTGTAAGTTTTATCGTTTGGGTTGTTTCACAATTTGTCTTGTCGGGGCCTTTTATAGCTGATCCTAAAATTTAAAAAATTGTATTATTGTCATAGAAAAAAAACAAACATTCCAATTTGAAACATGGTAGATAGATTGAACATGTATGTTTGGCACATGTAGGTCATTGGCTTCAGTGTTAACTCTGACAAACCAATTGCCAATTTATCTTTGAAATTACTGCAGTTGTGTCTGCTGGTGTATAATTTATAGAACAGTGGTACATTTTTGTTGTTATTCACACCAATGGGGATTAGTTGGAAAACATAATGCAAGACCATAACATAGAATTGATGTGCCATATTCCGGGTGTGAAACAAAACTGACCAATTTTATTCTTATACTACATTTATAACAAAAATATCTAGTCAATAAAAAGTTTAAAGTTTTGAAAAACCGACACAAAACATATTCCTCCGAAGAAAATAACAATCTACAGAGTTAGCTGGATATTCAAAACAAATAAATCAACCACAAAACAAGCAAAAAGGAGAAATGAATTGAGTCACCACTATCCTTGTTAATGACCTAATAGTGTAAGCTACAAAACGATTAATGGCACGAGATAATCCGTGTTTAATCGAAGCCAAAATGTTGACTTAATTTGTGTTTTTAATTGCTAAGTTCTTCAAAACAACTTTTATTTCACACATGAAATTTGGCACACACATGCATTGTGTCTTATTGCTTCAATCAGAGTAAAAAATATCGTGATGATACACGTAATAATTTTGCTTTCGATGAACATGTGGTAAATATCAGGTAAAATTTTAGTCTTATTAAAATGCTGAAATATATATATTAAAATCACTTAAATACTTTCCGCTTTCGTTATATGATTGATATAATATATAAACTATATTATAAGTACTATTTTAACCACCAACAAAGAGCGCAATAATTTTATTTTTCATGTACAATGTAAAAGATTCTCCGTACAATACAGTATCTGGGGGTACCCTACCATAACATGAAATTTAGAAAATCGTGACCATGGGAACTTACGACGACAATCATGATTGTAAAATATAATGATTTTCCTATAATTTGCAAATAAAATTAGCATTGTGTTATCCGTTAACTTAAACTCGTTAACTAGAGGACTTTTTTAACATTGGGCACCCTACTAATTTGAACTCCTTCAAAATTTTAACAGATTCTTGTCATTAAAGAGATGATATTCATCAATTCAGAATTCTGAAATCCCTAGAAACATTACAATATATCAAATTTTTAATAAGAGCAAAAATCAAATCTATAAAGTCACTATCAATTAAGCCACAAAATAAAAATTACAAAATTTGGTTTATCATCACACTACAGTGTAATCACATATGTTTATCATCACACTACAGTGTAATCACATACATACACACACATACCAGTTGTGGTTGCAGTTACTATCTTCCTGGAATGCAAGTTTCTTTGAGATATTTTTGCTAGCCAATGTCATTGTGTTGTTAAAAATTGTCCTTCAAATGATATGGTTCTCTTTGATTTCTTTGATATAAGATTAATATATACATATGTCATAATTTTGTTTTTTAGTTTTGCTGAGGAAAGGTATAAGCTCAGAAGGAAACAGAGAGAGAGTTGTTCAACAGATAACCAAAAACAGGATCAATGAATTGCTGTCAAGAAATGTACATTACATTTAATTTGTACATAGAAATTAGGGCATGGCCAAATAACTACAATTAAACATAAGTTATACTGTATAAATAGTTCTGCTGGAAAATTGTAAATAATAAGACGGCAACAGTTACTGTTTCAATGATAAATGAATTACAATTATAAAGACCATATAAGTTAAATTATTTGGTTCTCAGACACCAGAGTAAATAAATATGTTAAATTTTTTTATGATGAAAATGAAAATAAATCAGCATGTTTGAAATTCCTTCTAGTTTTGAAAACTTGAAACATCTCTGATTATTATTTTTGATACTAATTTCTTTTAAGTGCATACCCTTTTGAAAACTTGAAACAACTCTGATTATTATTTTTGATACTAATTTCTTTTAAGTGCATACCCTTTTGAAAACTTGAAACAACTCTGATTCTTATTTTTGGTACTAATTTCTTTTAAGTGCATGCCCTTTTCAAACAGCAAGGTTTATTGATATTTTTCATGAGAAGTGTGGTTTATAACAGATATCATGACCAATCAGAACATGTCCAAATGATATATTTACACAGAAAAATGATGCAAAGAATAATCAGATGAAAAAATACTTTCCAGAGAAAGCTAGTTTATAGGCTGAAATAGGCAAAAGAAATTATGTCTGACTATCAGTTAGAAAATAACAGTCAGAGACAGTTGAAGTAAACAAATTAGATGAATCAGCCACAGAAAATGAGTGGCAAATGATTACACAAAACAAGTATTTGTTCTCTTTTATAATTGTTGTAAGAAACCTGTCTGAGAATCTTTTAATTTCACATGGCCTAATAGTGTCGTTTTGCAGAATATTTAGGTTTATGATAAATATTATATGTATATATACAGAGAGTTCTTGTTAATGATAGTAATAGTAAAAACAGTGAAAAGAGATCATGTGATTTGATTTCTAATAGAGTGTTTACATATTTTGTAGGAAATTTATATTCCAAGGAATAATACACCACAAAGCTTTTGGAGCTTTAACTTAATCTCTATGAATAATAAGCTAGATTAATATTAAACCTCCATATTTCTAAGAAATATTTTATAGCAGATAAATGAATGAAAATTAAGTGCATATTATATAATGGTTGTTATTGTGAAGTTAGACAACATGAACAGTCAATATTTTAAGATTATTTTGGATCATGACAGATTTGTCAGCTTTATTTTTGGATTTACTATCTATAATCATTAGAACTCCTACATGTTCATTTAGATTTCACATCATTTTTGTATAAAATTACATTACATTTTCATATGTTGTTTTTGTTTCATTTTGTGAAAAAGAATTCAAAATGTTTTATGAATTTTCCCAGGTAGTCATTTTCTTCTAGAAATCACATTTTTTACTTATTTAGTAGATTTTCATTAGTATTTTTAGAAATATGTACAAGGCTCTGCACTTTCTCAGTATTTTTGGTATGTAGTCCTTCACATTTTGCCAACAAATAGATATTCAAATTAGTGAAAAAAAATTGAATACATTACTTATATTTCTTACAGATAACACAGATACATTTTTATACATAAATGATATAGCCTGTTTTATGTAAAAACTTCATAATGAGACAACTTCTTTAACATGAATAAGTTATTTTAGATCTTTTTGTTCTGAAGCTGGTAATGATAAATGATATAATCAGATTAAACAAGATCTTACGTTTTTCACTAATAGAAATCAGAATAATTTAATGGCAGCTTCAGAAATAGACATACAATACCAGCCTTCCTTAGGTATTATTTTATGAATGTTTCATTCTTACTGTACAGTATAGTGTTGCTGCTATGTGTTGAATGTAAATAAACTTGTTTAATTTTATCTTCAGTCTTTCTTTAGAACAGGATTTACCCGCCTTGTATTATTAGGGGATCAACTTTAGACTGATCAAATTAGTTAATATAGTAAAGGTGTGTACTGAAAGTAGTCTCTGATGTTAGATTTGTTAAGGTGGATCGATATAATGAGAACTCAATGTCATAAAAACCCATGTTTTTTGGCATCTTTTAAACTTTGAAATAAGCATTTTTGAACATATCCAAATCTTGATTTCATATGTCTTTGTAAGGTTTTGCTCAAATTTTTATAAGATGCTGAAGTACAGCTTAGTAGAATAAAAATATAATAAAGTATATGTCACTAATAAATAATAAAAGGTATATCACTTTAAACTGAAATAGATAAAAAGTTGGTGGGAAACTGGAGGTAATTTGGTTCTATATCTCATCAAATAACTATGAAACAATTCATTTGAACCTTTATATCAATACTGGTGAAACCTCATATTCTAAATAGATGAACAGTAATAGAAAATAAACTTTCAATAATTTTTTCCATCTTTGGTAACTGGAAGTTCATGGCTTGTCATAAATATTGAAAAGCATGTAAAAAATTGGAAATAAAGGAAAAAAATCTTTCAACAACAAAAAGGAAAGGACACAACAACTTTAATTTATCAAAACACTCAATATCCAAAAATTATTTTTTACAACATTTTGTGCAATACTGAAAAGTCATTCAATTGTAGCAATTTAATCCTTTGTTTGATATGTGAAGTCAAAAGATTTGATTTATTATCTGCTTACATTTTGAGTGTAAAGTCCTTTTTCTATACCACATGTATATTTGTTTTGTAATGCTAAGCAACAAATATGTGTGTTCATTGTCATGCAAATTTTTGCCACTCATCCTATATATTTTTCACTGAAAAAAATACTTTTCTTTAATTTCTTCTGCTAAAGTCTATTATGTAGACAAAAATGGTGTTCCATTGACCAAAACTGGAGAGTAAAAAAAATACATTCTGATTTTTTTTTGTTCACTGCAATATTTGTAAGTTATTGTTTTTTTTTAATAAATACACACTTGAAATCTTCTTGCCTGAATTACAAATCGATCATTTAATCCTCAAAAAGTCATGAAACCTGTAAACAGACAAAGCATATTTTTGTCTCCCCAGCGTTGAAGGTAGCAGCATGCAAGACATGTATGCTAATCTAGCACTAGGAACAGTGGTAACTTTTGATAAAAGGCTTATATTTTAGGAGGTAGAAAAGCTTAACAAGCCATATTTTGTATGAAGATTGCCTGTTGTATGATGTTTCCATCTAGAATATCACAGGTGATGTTGACCTCATTGTCATTGTTGAATGACACTCAAGTCAAATTTATTTTGTTGTAAGTAAATTATTTTCTCAGTTAGTAATAGGTAAATAAACTGTATTTGGTTTTAAAAAATTCTCATCAAAGATACCAAGCTTATAAATTGGTTGTATATGTCCATCTGACATTAGTCACCTGACCTTCATCTCTTTTCATAATTCAAAAATTAGTTTACTATGAGTACTAGTCCTTTATCTCAATGACTATTATTCAAGGATAATCAAACACGCAGATGAAACATTTCAGAAAATGCTTTTTGTTTTATGATCACACTCCAATTTCAGTGGTATAAAGATATATTGTCACCTTTGCAAAACTTCTATATTACTTTTGCATGATCAATGATGTAGGGAATGGAAAGGGGAGAAATTAGTCTCATCCCAATTATTATGTGAATTTTATAGATCTTAGATGTTCAGGGTTCATACAATTTAAGCTACATGGTTATTGTCCAAATTGAATAAGACAATTATCTCATAACTGATCTTCAAGTATTGTTTTGTTTGTATGCATTTCTGGTTCTATATAAACAAAAGATTAAAGTTAACTGACAAACAACTCAAACATTTTAGAAAGAAAACAAATGTTTGGAGAGAGTGGAATATAGAAACATGGGATGGTTGACAAATCAATATTATGGTTAATATGTATGGAAAATACTTTTCTACGGCTAAAACAGAAATATATTTAACTCAATTTTTTGGTGTTGGTCAATATTTCACAAACTTTCTAGTTCACTGGTTTTCTTGTCGAGCCTGAACTTCTGTCGCAGAAAGCTTGACATAGGGATAGTGATCAGGCGGCTGCGTTAACTAACTACTTAAAAGCTTTATATTTTAGAAGGTGGAAGACCTGTATGCTTCATATTTTGTATATAGATGTCTTATGTTATGAAGTTTCCGTCTGTCATATGTCCATTGTCCTTGACCTCATTTTCATTGTTCAGTGACTACTTGAAAAAAAAGTTAAGATTTTTTGTAATGTAAATTTCTCTCTTATTATGAGTAATAGGATAACTATATTTAGTATGTGCGTAACTTGCAAGGTCCTAATGCTTGTCAGACACTTTTCATCTGACCTTGACCTCATTTCATGGTCAAGTCCATATATCCGATACTATAATCAATAGGTCTACTATATTTGGTTTATGGAATGATTGTAAGGTGTACATTTCCAATACGGATGTTGCAGAAACGTTCGTAATACGTATGTTTAAGAAACGTCCGTGAAACGGAAAATCCGTTTTACATCAGTTTTTACACGTACGTTTTACGGATGTATTTTTACAGACGTTTTACGGACGTAACCGTATCATCCGTAATACATCTGTATTACGGATGTTTTACGGACGTTTATTACCACATCCGTGAAACGTCCGTAGCTATTTTACCTGTGTAGTTAAGGAATTAGGGACATAAAAGGGGCCAAAAATAAGCATTTTTGTAACTTCCAGACATATAACTTGTGTGTTAGTGTATGGATCTCTCTGACATTGTACCACAAGGTTCCATATCACAAAGGGAATGCTGGAATTGATTTTGGGGGTAATTGCCTCAAAATTTTAGGAATTAGGGGCCAAAAAAGGGGCAAAAAACAAGCATTTTTCTAGTTTCATGACAATAACTTGTGTGTAAGTGTATGGATCTCTCTGACATTGTACCACAAGGTTCCATATCACAAAGGGAAAGCTGGAATTGAGTTTGGGGGTAATTGCCCAAAACGATTAGGAATAAGGGGCTAAAAAGGGGCCAAAAATAAGCATTTTTCTAGTTTCCAGACAATAACTTGTGTTCAAGTGTATTGATCTCTCTGAAATTGTACTGAAAGGTACCATATCACAAAGGGAAGGCTGGGATTGAGTTTGGGGGTGATGAATCATAAGGGGTTCAAAAAATTGGGGGGGGGGGGGTTTCCTTTTTTTTTTCTTTGAAATTTTCCATTTTAAATTGGTTATTTCTGATTTATATATAAAAGCAAATAATAATGATATGGTTTGAATAGGTAAATTAAAAATTTTCAAGTTCTTAGACCACATTCATTCTGTGTCAGAAACCTATGCTGTGTCAAATATTTAATCACAATCTAAATTTAGTGCTGTATCAAGCTTGAGGTATAAAACCACTAATTCATAGCCCCATTGCTTTCTATGTTAAATTTTGCAATTTCAAGCATTAATGGCTACTTTGTCTTAAGTTCAAATAAAGTGGCAGTTATTTCATGTCAAAACTGTACCTTATCCTGACTTGTGCTGAAAAAATCAACATACCTTTAATTGCATATTAGAGCGTACTGGTTCCCGGAAGTTTGATAGTACAAAAACAAGAACTTCTGATCTGAACAACAGGCCAAATGAGCCCTCCTATTAAAATTTCATATACTTCTTTATTATTCAAATAAAACTTTCAACAAGGGTTCTACAGTCATCCCAAGTCCCCAAGCATTCATTTCATACTAAAACTACCCAAATATTCCCACTATTGACAAAGATACAGCTATGTGTAGGAACTATTTTGTTTAAAATATGTACTACTTTCTTGTATATTCTTTCCGACCGGGCCTGAATTAGTGGTTCTATACCTTGAATGTTGTGTCCATACTTGCCCCAACTGATCAGGGTTCGACCTCTGCTGTCGTATCAAGCTGTGCCCAGCAGAGCATTTTATCTGACCTTGACCTCATTTCCATGGTTCAAGTTTGTTTCTTAGAAACTATAAAAAAAGGTCAACTATATTTGTTGTATGGAATGATTGTAGGGTGTACATGTATTTCGGGTTTGGTTTATCTGACCTTGACCTCATTTTCTTGGATCATGTTAAGTTCATGTGATACTTGTAGTAAACCTTTATATTTAGGACTATGAACATAAAATCAATGGTCAGTAAAGCAGGCGAGACATTTCAGCATGTGCACTCTTGTGTTATAAACTTTTAATACAGCTGTCAGTTGTCTACTTTGAATTGTTACATTGCTTGCATTATTCTAATCGGGTTTGGTTTACCTGTAGATGTATAGGATAATACATTTCTTGTTGGTTTGGTCTTTGGTGAGTATTTGTCACATGGGCATTGATACATCACTATGCAAATAGTTGAGTATAAAATATATCCAGTGCATCCTATCAATTCAGTATCTGTTTGTCAAGAGTCTGAATAAATTCACTATAGTTGATTTAAAATTTTGCCTTCCAATCTTTTCCTTTGGATTAGAGCATTTTAGGATAGAATTAGATAGAAAGTCTTGTCATACCCATGCTTATGAGTATTGCATGTCTCTTCAAAGAATTTCAACTCGTCAATTGCTTTATTGACAAATCCTGGGACTAATAGATTTAAATGAATGCATGTATTTAGTCCCAGTTAGACATTTAAAATAATGCAGAATCGGTTACTTGTAGCTATTCTTCAGTATTTAATGTAGGAAGAGATGGCGGATGGCTGCAATGTTTTTATCATTTAGAAATTTACAGGCTACAAGTGCTTGTAACTTGTATGTTCCAGTACAGTACACAATTTGAAATAGTATATTGTGTATGTACTTCAGACAGATGTTCTGTGTAAAAAAATGGGCAAAGAACTTTTTGGAGAGAGGTATATAAGTAAAAGAAGAAAATAAACATATTACCAAGAAACTAAGGTTTTAACTCCCTCGGGCAAAATTGA